CATATATTTTGTAGTCCACATTCAACAATGAAATCGGCCTATAATTTTGTATTTCTTTACCTTCCGTATTTTCTTTATGTATAAGAGAGATTGTCGCTTCACTCCATGTTGCTGGTATTTTCCCTTCTTCCTCAATGCATTCTAGCAGCATCTTAAATGGCTGAAGTAGCACCTCTTCCAATTCTGCATAAGAATATTCTTGAAGCATGCCTGGGATTTTCACTTGGCACAATAAATGGCAGTCAGGATGCTAAGACAAGCATGGTATTGGGGTCATATGACCCCGAAACTGAATAACCTTCAATGATTGGCAACTTCTTTCCAGGTCTAATTCAAGGTCTTAGTTTTAACCTTTAAATCCTAAATGGCCTGGATATTGCATATCTCATCTTCAGAAGAAGCTTTTTTGAGAACACGTACGGAGTCCTGCTTGATGGTCATGCAGTACAGTAGAAGGTTTTCTCCTCCATCATTCACAGACTGTGGAATTGTCACAAACTCATCACAATCACATCAGGATTGTGATGAGTTTCCACATTCCCTGGTTTGAGGACAGATATGAAAACATATCTTTTTTAATTGCCTTTTAAAACTATTAAATATATATTGCAATGATTTAACTACCTTGTTTATAGACCAAACTGATGTTAATGGTTCCATGACTGAATTTTTTTAATGTTTGTGAGCTGCCTTAAATGATACTTTGAAGCAAAAAGGCAGAATACAAATGTAATAAATAGATAAACAAATAAAAGGTTCACTTTATACACCATGAAGCACCAAATTAAGAGTGGGAAGGGGTGGATTCATATCTTCAGTGAGCTACAAAGCTCTCTCAGTGACCTTGGACCAGTGACCATTTTCCGGCCTAATTTGCCTTCACAGGGTTTTTTTAAGGAAAAGGGAGGCCTGGATGGAATCATGTACACTATACTGAGGTCCCTGGAGAAAAGGTAGGATCAAATGGTAAGAAGTGAATATACATTTCATAGAGGACCTTGAGCAAGCCATTGTCTCTCAGCTCCCTCTCCCAACATCTGCAACCAGACTATACTACTACTACTTACCTATCTTATAGAGTTATCACAAAGAGACTGAAATCCTTGCTTTTGGCAACTAGGAAGTGCTATATAAATATTAAATGATGATGATTAAGATCCATGAGCTTCATTGATCATATATATTATTTGGTGAAAATATCCAGTGCAACTCCATTCAGTACTGAACTCCAGTACAGCTTCTATTTCCCATCAACAAACTATTTTCACACCACTGTTTTATTTTATTGTGTTTTAGTTTTTATTGTACTTTACTTTGTTTTCCCAATGTGAGTTGCCTTGTCAGAACAACCATCTGACCTACCCACAAAAATAAGATATTTTTGTTGGAAATCATTGGCAATGTGTAACTAATATTTCTAAAATTAAACCATGAGCCTAGGATAATGCATCCTGTAGACCGTGCTCAACAGCAATACATGGAATGGTGTCTTCCCAACTGATCTGTGTTTATATAACCACCATAATATCTTCCAGTGGCTTTCGAGTCAAGTCTGGCACAGTAGCATCCTCACTGGGGTATCCAACTGGCAAAAGCAAGAGTAGCTTTTCATTTGCTGGACGTCCAAGCAACACACGGAGGCGTGGACCACAATTCAGGGGAGTAGAAGTAACAGTCACCAGCCCCACATTCTGAAACAAAAAGAGAGAAATATTAGAATACTGTAGCTGGTATTCTTCATTCCACTTACCTGTACTCTCTAAACTGCCTAGTTGTCAACAGATGTCTAGTTTCTATCAGACTTATAAAGTACAATATCATTATTACGATATGCAAAATATATGCATATTTATCCATATCACTATATATTTACATAGGAAAGCATCCAGTTGTTAGTCCCATCTAGAGCAGATCCATAGAGCCAATGTGACCAATGTACATATCAATGTAATCATTCATTTAAGGAGTCTTCTTTAGTTGGGCCTAGCAAATGATTTTATCTCAAAATCTACAATAGAAACATTAACATACAGAATATAATGTACACTATTTAGCCTAAATTTACACCATAAGAGCAATTAATCTCCACAGGTCTCCTGGTTATACCCAGTTATTACTTGTGATTGGACAGCTTGTTTTAACTGCTTGTTTGAAATTTTTTGGCTGAAAATCAGTGATATGGCAAGGTTGTATGTCCACTGTGAAATCTTCTGTTGAAATTAGATGAAATAAGTAATGGAATATCATTCATTTTTGGTTTCTCAAGGTGTTGATTATGCTTACATTTCAGCTATTCTACACTTAACTAACCTGTTATTATGTCTCAAGTCTCTTCCAACATATTCCTTTATATGTTTTTGAGGTATGTGAGTTGTTCAAGGAGTAGTTTAACATTGTGACCCCCAGTGAGTGTCATGGCCAGTGGGGATTTGAACCCATTTCTCATGAGTCCTAGTCCAACACTCTATTCACTACACTGCACTGGCTCTTAACTAACTTATGTTCCATTTCTATGGATAATATATTTCCTGTAGTTAATAAAAAGAGTTCCTAAATATTAGTGCCAATATCCTGTTGGGAATTTCCACAGAAGTGGCTGCATTATTTGGTAAGATATCTGTTGTATAACACTTGTTGTATAACACTTGGTGCATCCAGTCATGCAGTTGGTTGTGCAACCAGATGAGCAAACAGATAAGTTGTCAAATAATGCAGCTGCTTGCACAAGGCTAGTTGTACACATAGAAGTGGACCTGGTGAAGAAGCACCCTGCCATTAGGCAGAGATAGGCAGTTTCCTCAGATAGCAAACTGTAGGTATTTAATTGCCAGGAATGGGGAAGTGTGTTTGTGATATTTCCTTTCTTATGTGTCAATATAAAGCTTGGCTGGCTTTGCTTGCTAGTCACTTTGAATGAGGAGAAATGAGAGCCATAAAAACCCTGAAAATATATGACTTCTGTTCCGCCACAGGCATCCAGTAATCTTCGGTCAACCCTTGAGTTAGACAGACTAAGCCTGAACTACTGTTGTGGACCTATACAGTGGACTCTGTAGAATAGCTGAAATAGGCAGAATAGGCTGAAATAGAGTAGCTGAAATAGCATCCATAGGCAGAGCAGAGGGAGGACCCTTGAAATTGTTGGATGAGGCACACCCCTGCTCTAATCCATGAGCCATTACAATTGTGCCCTTTCTGCCCTAGCATCCTTGGAAAGATACTTATTACCTAGTCCGCTACAGCCAGTGTGGCCCTGGAGACAATTTACAGTGAGGTGAAAGCTTGTGCCAATTACGTAGATGCTGCTATCTAGAATTCCACCATTTATTATGCTTCATTCTGATCTTACTCATAGATGCTGCTGTCTAGAATTCCACCGTACATTTATTATGCTTCATTCTGATCTTACTCTTGCCCAAATTGCAAGCATACCTGTAGTGCAGCGAGTAGAATGCCACAGGCAATAGAAACACTAATTTCATTGTAGTAGTGAGTTTTCTTTTTTCCATCTGGAAGCATTCCATACACCTGCTTGAAAATAAGGATCAGGTAGGGAGCTGTATCCAAGTATTCTTTCACCCAGTTAGTCCTAGGGAAGGATTATTGTATACAAGTTATTCAACCTGTTCTCTCACATAGGATTTTTGCATTGGCTGTAAAAGCCCTGAAAATATATGTTAGCAATCCATCAGCTCAAGAAGAAGGAGGAGGAGAAGGAGGAGAAGCTTGAAATCATTCAAAACATTCTGCAAAATGCTGTCAGGCTTCTAGTGAGGCCGATGCTCTGAGTGTGTAGTCAGTTTCAAATGCGCATGCACGTAGGTAATATTTTGCTTCTCTGTTGTTATTGTTGCAGACTATCAAGGGCTGCCATCAGGAGTCTTGTTTGTTTTATTTAAAAGCCGCCTTTCTCCCAATAAGGGGACCCAAGGTAGCTCACAATATTAAAAGAGAATTGAATAAAAAACATAATGAGTTAAACATTAAGAAAAAATCAAACTGCATGCTGTTTAAAATAAAATTGAATAAGCAAAAGCAAGTCAACATTAAAAACTATCTTAACTTTTAAAAAGGTCTTCAGCTGCCAGACGAAGGATAAAAGGGAGGGGGCCAGCTTGAGGGAGAGTATTCTGTCGCCTGGGAGCTGCCACAGAGGTGGCCTCTCTTGGGATCCCATCAAGCCTCCTCTGATAATCTTAAACACTGAGAAGACTCAGTGATGACGGTCCTTCAGTTAGCCTGGGCCTAAGCTGTCTTGATAGACAGAAAGGTAAGAGGATATATTTATAATATCCTGTGACAGGTAGCTCTAATACAGTTTGGTCCTAGACCAGACACCATAATATTACAGTTTTTAAAAGCATAATTTGGAGCAGCCAGCATTAATGGTACCTCAGTCTTTTCAGATCATTAACCCATCTGTCTCCCATTCTTTTCTTGTAGTTTATTTCTTCCTCCTCTTCAATGATATCTCGGATTTTATGCTTTGTTTCCACATCTTGCACCACTACAAAGGTCCAAGGTTCAGTATGTGCCCCACTGGGAGATGTTCCTTTAACCAAATAAAAATAAATGCTCATATTAAAGAAAACAGCTGCACAGACTCTTTTAAAAAGGAGTGTTGCACTTTGGAAACCTGTGAGATCTCAGCTTTGTCCTCAACCTCCAGGAATATTTTTAATGTGCTGTGAATACTACAGAAAGGAGCAGCTGCTGTTCTACTGAATAAAAATGTGTAGCAACTATACATCTTCAGTCATCTATCTGATATTGCTATACTATAAGACTCGGTGTGTACTATACATCCATTATCTGCATGTCTTGCCCTGCATGCACAATATGGCTAATGAACATACGTGTGTATCATTCATTCAGTATAACAGAACATTCATCTTGGTTGAACTCTCAGATGAATTTTTGCAACAAATTCTAATCATGTTGTCACGGAGGCCCCTTTCATGTGATAAACTGTATGGAAGCAGCCTCAGTTCCTTCCCTTGCCATCCAAATAATGTGAGGCACCTCGAACCATATGGAAGGAGTTCGCAATAACTCGAACTCCAGTACCACCCCAGTTTTGGGGCTTTGGGGCTTCTTATGAAGTGTTGCATTATCACCAGTATAATGCACAACCTCCCACACTGCCAGTGTAATATATATGCATGTTGTTCCTTACACAAGTCTTCCCCAGCCTGATGTCTTTATGGTCATTCTTTGACTTGAAATTATGAGAGTTGTAGTCCAACCCATGAGGGAGGCAAACCAGATTTAAGAAAGTGGTCTCAAGCATTGGGAGAGGACTCTTTGAGGAACACCCCAGAACCAATTATGGGTTACATTACAAATTGTTGGCTCCTCCTCTCCTTCCTCAGCATTACTGACTCCTTTGGCAGGCATAGTTTAACAACATTTTAACAGTGCATTAGCAGGTGAAGCTCATGTGATGTCAGAATGACTGCCCAAAGGTTGTCATTCACAACGAAGCCACTCATGCAAGGGTGGTACCTGCTGTTCTAATCACATTGTCAATGACCTCCCTTGGAACCGGATTGTTGCTTATAAACCGGACAGATCGCCTCTTGTTGAGAAGCTCATAAAAATCCTTTGATCTTTTCACCATATCTTCTTCAGAGTAGCGCTCAGTTGAAAATGGGACATGGGCAATATCGTTGTCTATTCCTTGCCATTCACCACCATCTGTGGGGGAAGGGGGGGGAATTTTTAAAAAATACATCTGATACACATCAATGTAAAAAACGTCAGTAGAAATGTTGGTCACTTGAAAGGCAGTTCCCAGGTTATGACAAAGTTAGGGTGAAATTAGGCATAAAGGGGAATGCTTTATGCCTAGTTTGGATTAACCCATTTCCCCTCCCACAGTGGGATTTCCTTGGAAAAAGTGATCAGAGTTGCAAATTATGCTATTTTTAACATTCAAAAACCCAATTAGAAAGCAAAACATACTAAATGCAAGATAGAGAGTTGAGGAAGAGCTGATGCCATTGCAAACAGACATCTTTCAGAGCTTGAGAAAGCACTTTTCCTATCTATTAAGTGTAATGTATGATCTAACCCTTAACCATCATATCCTGTTGTTTGACAGCCAAAACTCTAACAGTTTCCTTTACTAAGACTATAATAAAAAATAAATTATTATTATCCTCCCACCTAGACTGTTTCAAAATACTACAATTTAGAAGGCCTGAATTCAGTCCCTGGTATTGCCATAAAAAGCTTGTGGGGAGAAGTCTGAAACCCTGGAGAGATGTTGTGAGCTGGCCCTCCAAAACATGCAAGAGTTCACCTCCTCGAGTTCATAATCCTTGAGTGTCACCACTGTTGGCTGGAGCTGATGGGCACTGGAGTCTGAGCTCTGTTGGAGGACTGCAGGTTCCTCACCTCTAATGCAAACTTAACAAAGTCAGAGATTGCAATGCTTTGATTTAATATAAAGTTGTTACTTAAGTTCCTGTACCTGACAGAACAATTTTTGCAGAGCCTACAGAGAAAGAACAAGGAACTGTGTTGAACATGGGCTTTGAAAACAAGTCCCCCACCCACAGCTACATGGTGTTTTTTCCTCAGTTACTTGAGATACTGGCTCAGTAACTTGGTTACTTGAGATACTGCAGTTTTCATGAGACTTACATAGATCAGAACACTTTAGATGAAAGATATTACACTACTTGTGCTGCAGGATTTTCAGAAAATGCTGTTCTACAAATACCATCATTGGAAGGGCCTCTGCATTTACAAAACAGCCTTCTTTGTGAAGGCACACCAACTTTGGAATGCCCTCTAGGGGAGATACGATTGGTGCCAATTTTGCATGCTTTCTGTAGTGCCAAATCAAGATGTTCCTGTTAGCTCAAGCATTTACACCATTGAAATTCAGTTGAAATTGTCTTTAGATGGATAGGTAAGTGGATGGGTTGGATAGATGGATGGATGGTTTGCTTAGAACTTCCAGGTCTCAGAGAGCTGACTGAAGTTTCAGGGGATAGCTATGCTTCTCTGGTTCTGCGTAGGGAGTTTCCAGTTGCTTTCTTCCATTTTATTTGTTTATTTATTTACTTACAATGAACCCTTTATCTGTAAAGGGCATGAGCAACCCTATGCTGTGTTCTCTCCTTACATACGGTACCAAAGTGCATGATGAAAGGACCCCCTCTTTTTTATTAAGATACGGTTGGTCCCACCCTGTGTAGATCACTGTCAGATCACTGAGATTTAGTAGAGATATGTAAATGTGTGGAAGGACCACTGATTATGTGCTGTGTTGACTAACTGGGATCCCAGTTGAAGACAAGAGAAGATGCATGTTATGGGTTTTGTTTCTCATAAAGCTATTTGGAGCAGGAAGGTCTGAATTTTGACTTTGGCTTTTTATAAAATCAATGACAGCTGCCTTTGTCAACACTCTCCAGTGCTATTGTAAAACCAGTATATTTGGGAGAGATCTTTACTAATGTGTAAGCTATTTAAAAGGCAATAGTATGAAAAGGGGTGGCATGTAAGATGTAAAATATTCATTATTCACTACTAGTAGCTGCCTTTAATTAGCCTAAAAGATCAGAGTCTAGTTAATGAAAGAACGCAAAGATCTCTAAGTGTTATTCAAGATAATTATGGGTTGGTCTTATGCATGTTTACATGGAAGTGACATTGAATTTAATAATGTTTACTCCCAGAAAAGTGCATAGGATTACTACCCTAACTGTTCTTAAGCTTAAGTCAGTGAGGAGCAGTCATGCATAAGATTCAGGCACACAATCCTAGGATTATTATGGACATTATTTTTCATAAAGGAAGAACAGTTTTGGACAATTGTCTTGAAGAATATGATGACTTAATGCAATCTCCCAAGAACAGAACCCATGTGCCTCTGCCATGGAAGAGTGAGGGGATATACCATTGAAGAGAAACATTACTGTCTTTCTCCAGCATGATAAAATCATTTTATATCATTGAGTCAATTCTCACCTAGAATTACCCTCTTGGGATTTTCTAATTATAAAGTACTCAAAAATGGTTTACCATATCCTCCTTCTGGTGGTGCTCTGGGATAATGCAGCTTGCCCAAGGCCACACAGGTGGCAGGACTTGTAACTCCCATCAACTACACACACACACTGGGTGATCCCACCTGGACCCTCTCCCAGGAAGTACAGTGGAAATTTAAATTCCTGGACCAAGAATGGGTGCTCCAACCCAGCTGTTCCCCCCCAACAAGAACAAGACAAAAATGGAATCTGCTTCCAAATAGATACTAAGTTCAGTGCCACTTGGTGACTAAGTTGTATAATGAAGCCATCACAAAACCTCTGAAGAAGTCAAACAACTAGAGGACTATCTTCAAGACCTACTTCTGAGTGCTTAGAGGCATGCCATTGCCCACTCTTGGAAACAGAATACTGAACTACATGGACCTTAAGTCTGATCCAGCAAGGCAATTCTTGGGTCCATTTTGATTAGTTTTAGTGTTGCAGTACTTTGATGTGGGTGTAATTAATGCTTCCTGCTTTATTGCAACAGCCTTGAGAGGTAGCATAGACAGACCAAATGACTGAGCCCAGGAAGCCTTGTGGACAGGAAGCTTTTTCTCCAGAAAAGAACATAACTACAGCATCAATTCAAGTTGGACAAATTTCCTCCTTTGATTAGCTGGATCACATTTCCTGGAAACAAGGTGCATTTGGAGGCAATTGATTGAAATAATCAATGGGACCGACATGAGAGCAATGGTCCCAAATACACACCAGCCTTCCCCAGCTTGGCATCCTCCAGAAGTATTAAACTGCAGTACCCATAATCTCTAGAAATCATGAAGAATACCCAGTTGCAGAACCGTTGTGCAACGTAGGTTAAGTATAATCTTGTCGGACATGTATCTGGTTACCGTGAATAACAAAGACATACAGTAGATGGCTCTTGGTCTGGCCAGGGAAGACAGAAAGCCCCCAAAATTTGGAGTGAGGAGTCCCCCTTGCTCATACCTTAAGCCATGCTTGCAATATACTGTAGTAGTAATTAAAAGTTGAAAAGGAAGAATGAAAAGGTCAGCACCTTCCTAGAAACCCCTAAAGTTCATTTGGAAAAAGACTAGGGGAAAATATTTGCCTCATTTAGGGTAATTAAGTAGCTAGCTACAGTTAAGAGCTTTAAAGTAACTCAGCGAGGCAAACATTTATTTTAACCATGGACTCCAGTGATTTGATGCATACCTTTAGTGTGCAGGCACTCAGTGTGTCCATGTTTCTTTAATTCCATAGTTCAAAGGGCTTCGTAGGTAAGTTTGATACTTACCAACAAAGAACTTCATAGGGTCCTGTTACTTGTTAGAGCCTCTGTCTCCAAGGTCATGCCACCAGATCTGCCCAGGCAATGCAGAAGGAGGCCCGGAAAACTTCAACAAGAAGTCAGGCCTCAGCAGGGGCACCAACTCTCTGGAATCATCTCCTGATGGAGCTACACCTCATTTCCCTCCCTCCCTAATTTCAAGAGGCTTCTGGATCCTCTATTTTGAGAGGCCTTTGGTGGCAACCCCTTTTGAATCTGATCACCCCTATATTGTTGCTCGAATATGTAAATAGGTTAGAAACAACGGTGGGGAGTGGCCTGTAGTAGTGCCACACATGACACTAAAACAATAGTGTGCCTTTTCCACTTAGCAAACTACTGATCTATGCATGACGGAGTTAAGGAATGACAAAAAAAGTCAAAAGCTGTTTTGTAGCAGCTGTAACTTTCCCCAGTCTTCAATCTAACTCAGTCCTAAGTGACTCTAGTGAATCTATCCAAGCAGTTCAGTTGACTGAATATAATGGATGGTTTAATCAGAGGTATGTTATTTACCAGGTCACGTAAGCATCTTAGTGGAAAAACTGAAGTTTGATTTCTTTTTCTTGTGCTGTACTAGACTTAATATACTGTGCTATGTTGGTCTGATGATTTTTGTCAGTGAGGGTGCTCCCAGGGCACAATCGCAAGCTATAAGATTCATTCTGCAAATGAATTATATAGCTTCATTTCCAGAATCTTACACAGAATTAGGTGAACTCATATTGAAAGAATAGTGCAGTACAGGCGTTGGAACACTCAACTTAGACCAGGGATACTTCAGTTCATACTGACGTTGTGTTTTGTCCACAAAGCTTCCTGGGCTCAGTCATTTGGTCTGTCTATGCTACCTCTCAAGGCTGTTGCAATAAAGCAGGAAGCAACATAGGCCAGCCCAAGCTTACTGGAGGAAGGATAGATAAAATAAACTGGGACTGAGGTTCTCAGTACAGTTGGATCCAGACAACAGCAAAGCTGGTCATGTACTGAAATAGGAGAGGGGCCACGGTAGTGGAACAACCAATATGTCATGGTCAAATTACATGGAACACCCAGGATGATGAAAGATAGGATGACAGAATTCTTGGTTTACAAAACCTTGCGTTTTGAATTTAACAGACCAGTTAGGATAATTTTTGCCCAAAGGCTCCTCCTTATATCCTGGGGCCAGCACAATCTTTGATGCCAGGCTCCAGTGAGCCTTTCCCGGTGACGTTACCAAAAGGTTCCAAAGGGTAGAGAGCTCAAGGCAAAGCCGTGCTTTCCTTTCCTTGCACCAGAAAGATGTATGGATAAATTTGGAGGGATAATCACCTCCCCACAGGTGCATTTTGTGTGCAACTCTGCCATGAGAAGGCTCTCGCTGGAAGAAAAGAGGCTGGATTTAACCTAGTGGTATACATTGCAACTCAGACTGACACAAAGGCTTGTGAAACTCCCTTGTTTCAGATAACTCAGACAGCCTGTTTACCATGAACAGGCAGCTGTCAAGGACACAGAGAATGAAACAGTGGCAGTCATCAGTAAGTTGGGTGTATGTATCAGCCCTTATGCTGCACTATATCAGTGCTGCAAAGTATTGTTATTTTATGTTGAGGACTCAGAATTGCAGTCATGGGAATAATTAAATACTATTCTCCCACAGAGGTACTAGCGTCGCCATTTTCATTTCCGTGAGATAAAAAGTGCACAATTGGCAGAGATCCTGGACTTTAATCAAGCTTAGCACAAAAAGAAATTTAATAATTTGTTAATAAAAAGCAAAATGAGTGGGCAAACGGGCAATGGTGAAAGACACATAGATATGTGTTTATGAGGCTATTTTGTTTAATAGAAAGGAGCATATAAGAGGAAAATTCTTCCATGAATTAGCAAAGCACTGCCCCTCTGAAAACTGTGGGCTAGTACAATATGTGCTTGTTTGTTTGCTTGCTTTAAATTTTGGATTATTTCATTCAATAGACTGACAAGAGGAAAAATAAATGGAGGCATAGAAGGAAAACGTTGAATTTATACAGTAGAATATTAGAAATAGACATTTTGTAAATATTTGATACTTTCCCTAGTTTAAAAATTTGTTTGTATATATGTTTGCTTGAAAGGAATAAGGATATATTCATGACTATTTTCAAAATGCTTAAATCTATTTTTACAGCTATACCCCATGGAATAGCATGGCCTCCTCCAAGAATACTCCTAATCTATGTTAGACCATTTTACTGATATTTTCAAGAGATGATTGCCGACACTATGTGATCCTTCATAAGAAAAATAAAGTCCCATTCCGGTTAAGTCGAGATGTAAACAAAAATTGCACTTGGACATGGAAACTATTTGCACACCACTGAACAATATACTGTATCTCTTTAATCTGGTTTAGTCTGCAATTTCACATCCACTGAATATGGAACTTGCTTCTCAGTAGACATGTGCAGGATAGTTATATTAATCAGTGCTGCACAGAAAGTAATAAGCATTCATCTAGAATGCTACTCCAATTCTGCTTTGCTTTAGCCTGTATCATTACCATGTTGGGGCAGGGGCTGTCTGTCAACCTATTACCACATGGAGAAAACTAGATTAGGTAAATTCCCCCATCCACATCAGAGGAACTGCCCTCGCCATTTTGGTTTTCTCCTCTTGTGGACCCCCTGAAATCTAACCCTTCAATTCAAGTGCACACTACCAGTAATATTCACGCCTTTCCTCAACCCTTGCTTAAGAGCTCTCAGTGATATCCAAGCCATGAATCACCCATTGCTGGTGGAAAGGCTCACCCTTCTTCTGTTTTTGTCTAATTAGAAGAACACCGGCCTTAAAAAGGCTGAACCCCTGTCTCCGATTTCACATACCTTCTTCCTCTACGTGAAGTTCAGTGCTGTCTTTTAAATCTTCATCCACCCAGGGGCGGGACTCTGTCTTCTTGTTCATTTTGCTTTGCACTTTCTTCGTCCTTTCCATGCTGCCTTTCACTATTATTCCAATCAAGACACAAATGATTGCCATGAAGACTGGTGTTAGGAAGGCAGATGCCATTTTCAAGCAGGTTTGAGCACAGTAATGTACCACACACAACCTGAAAAGCAAATGCTCCCCTCTCAACAGTAAGTAGAGTTTCCGTGAGACCAAGAATGATAAGTGCAGAAGCAATCAAACAGCACATAGATTTTTTTCCCCTTTTTAAACAGGGGCAATGTTCAATTCTCAGTTCTGGCAAGCTGGAAACAGTCAGAGATTGGAGAGCACTTGCTCTTCAACCTCCAGCAATTTCTGGATCCCTTCCAAAGCCCCGGTCTGTTTATTTCACTCCTGAGTTGTCCAAAGCTTTGTGCAATCCGATTCGGCCCTAGAGTGTGTTCTGGAAAATGTTAAGGTATCAAAAATGTAAATGCTGTAAACAAGTCACAATGAGTTACCTACACTGATGGTAACCAGTATTCAGAGCTTTGTTTGCTTTTTGGATTGCAGCTTCTAGACTCCTCCAGACTGAATGGACACTGGCCATGCTGGCTGAGGAATCTGGGTGTTATAGACCTTTCAAAAAACACCTTTTCTGAACTCTGAGATTACTCATGGAAGTCAGTCTCCAGTGAAGGCAGTGGGATGGCTCCTAAGAGTGATCAAAGCCTCCATAGCTCTTTGAAAGATGTCAAATCCCATCCTAATCAAGGAGACTTAGGGTGCAATGGGACATGGAAATAGCTCACATTTTGGACCTCTTGTAGCATGGTTAGTGGAAACTCTTTCTCATCAATTGCACAATGTATGTAAGATTGCCAACCAGCCCACTTCTGATTTGTGCCCAAGCTGGGCCTTTGTGGTCTAGCAGCAAGGCTGCCCTTTTTTGGAGCAACACCTCTAAGGAAAGAAGGGTAGGTTTAAGAGAGATTACTCCCAGCAAAGAAAACTTTCCCCATCATCTGATTGCACTCTTACTTGTTTAATTGTGGAAACAATTATAGGCATTGTGTATTTATAGGACTTTACCTAATCACGTCTGATGTATGTGTGTAGGCATCCTTCACTCTTGAGAGACTATGGTAACGTGTTCTGTATGGAGTTCTTGGAACAGTGTCTTGTGTGGCTGAGAAGGCCAATCCGAGAGTGACAATCTCTTCCACATTGATGACAAATACAATCTGTATGTGACTACCCAGCTAATAGAAGCCATTACTTTTCTAGTGGTAGTGGCGGCAGCATCAATGCCTGCTTTCGGCTCACCATGGCCACGGCCCTTCAGACCATGGTCTGATGACTGATTAAAGACAAAGTTACTTTGTTGAGAACAAATTAAAAGTTAAATAAGCTGGGCAAGTCAATAGTGGACCTCAGTCTACTTACTTGTCCTAAAATCGAGAATACATTAAAAACTGTCAAATATACATGTTATGTGTTTATTTATTACTTTTAGAGCCTGCTTTCCCTCCAAGGATGTCCCACTTCCCCATCTTATCTTCATCAAGTAGGGGGTTGGAGTTGATGGCCTTATAGGTCCCTTCCAACTTCACTATTCTATGATTTTTTAATCCGGGTCTCCCCAGTGGTCCAGCAGTCTAACCGCTCTACTGGCTATCTGCTCACCCTAAGATGCTTCCTTCTCTAACACTAATGGTAATCCGGGTCTCCCCAGGGTCCAGCAGTCTAACCGCTAGACTATAATGGCTATCTGCTCACCATAAGATGCTTCCTTCTCTAACACTAATGGTAAAATAACTTAAACATTACTTCCCCTGGGGTAATGTGTTGTTTAATCTTTCAGCATTAAGTAAAGGAAAAAAAAACTCATAATGCTTTCAAATTCCTTATCTCTTAAAACTTATTTTAAGCAATCGTGTTACCTTGCACTTCAACCTGTCAAAGTTCCCACAATACATCAGTTTATTAGAGCCAGGCTGGACTTAATTAAATTCTGTTATATGGATTCAAATCAAGGTCCTCTCAAGAGATTGGTTGCAGGGAAGAGAACATAACAATGGATTTGAAATGCAATTTACCTTTGGTAAGCATCTCCCTTACTATGCAAATACTGTTGCTGCCTTCAATTTTCCTCATTATAAGGAGGTCATATTGTGCCCCCTAGAATTATCTCTTCTCCCCACATGAGAGTCATAGCTTCCTACCCCCGCACGGAAAGTTTATGCTTCTGCACGTTGAATGGTTATTCATCCCCAAGCTTTAGAAACTTTTTTGGACTACAGCTTCCATAATCCCCCAGATTCTGGGAGTCTTTGTTCAAACAATAACAATGCCAAACTCTGTTCTTTATCTACCAAGGATTTTTACACAGGTTCTGATATTTATCTGCATAAGAATTATCAGATTTAATATATCACAGAACTGGGGTAAGTGCACATTTGACAAAGATTGGAGGACTTTGCATTTCTATGATTAAAAAAACTCCCTATTTTCAAACATCATAACAGATATATGCAAGACTAAGTAGTTCCAGTTTTAAAATGCTGATTTTTGCTGAGTCTGCAAGATAATTTTCCTCAGCTTATCTGTTTTCTTATCCATTTCTGCAGCAGCTAATAGTTAGACCATCTATCCAATAGGATTCCAGCATCTGACCTTATGGTGCAGTGGTTAAACCGCTGTACTGCAGCCAAAACTGTGCTCACGACCTGGGGTTCAATCCCAGGTAGCGGCTCAAGGTTGACTCAGCCTTCTATCCTCCAATGTAAAGACACATCTTTGCAGCCATGGAAGGATTTTGTAAGACTCATTTGATAGCCCATTCCATTCATAGTCAGTGTCCACATGGTTCATTGTGATGATTGTTAGTTGGGCATCCTTCAGTCTCAAAAGACTATGGTAACGGGCTCTGTTACTTCCAATGTAAAGACAGACACATCTTTGCAGCTATGGACGGATTTTATAAGACTCATTTGATAGCCCATTCATAGTCAGTGTCCACATGGTTCATTGTGATGGTTAACCTATTAACTTCAGTTTGGCACCCACTGTTTATATAGGGCTGGTGCAGCTGGCAGGACCCCGAAGCATGGCCAAATAGCAGATAAGTGCACAGTACCCCGAGTATTATAAGTCAAATTATTTTCTCAATTATACAAGTGTTTTTCTTTGGGAGCAAGATGAAGATGATGAAAAGTTTACATTTTTTACTCCCAAGTGAGATTAGTGAAGTCACCACCCCTCTATGCCACTTGACAGAGATGGTTTGAAACATTGCTATGGTTATTTGAACCTATTCTAGCTAAATGTAATATACTGTAATTGGTTCAGTGGTTAAACTGTTGTACTGCAGCCAAAACTGTGCTCACGACCCAGGTAGCCGGCTCAAGGCTGACTCAGCCTTCTATTCTTCCAAGGTCAGTAAAATGAGTACCCAGCTTGCTTTGGGGGGCAATGTGCAGCCTGCATAATTAACTTGTAAACTGCCAAGAGAGTGCTTGAAGTGCTGTGGGGTGGTATATAAGCAGCACGCTTTGCTTTTTTGCTTTGCTTTGCTTCATTACAAAGGAAATCAGGTCAGCTGGCTTGCTAATTCCAGCACTTAAATCTGTTGTAGTTAAGGATCTTATTCAACCTGGCTGGAATTATTTGCCAGTTCTCAAGCAATTTATATGGTGCTATAAATAATTTGTTCCCTGTACCTCATGCACAACTGCAATTCATAAATTTGACGTAAATATATTTATATGAACCCGTCTTTACATTTGAAAAAAAAATGTGCTGGATTCAGACTTAGGCTGTGACTACACAATCAAATAAGGAGAATTTGTTGCGGGTGTAAAACAGATGAATTCAGGTGTTGTTGTTTTTACTGATCACATGACATACAGTGGTGCCTCACAAGATGATTTTAATTAGTTCTGCAAAAATCATCGTCTTGTAAAAAAAATCATCTTGCGAGGTTCCCTATGCATCGGTCTAAAAAAAAAAAAAAGTCTTGCGAAGCATCGGTCTCAAAAAATGGTCTTGTGAAGCACGGTCATAGAAAAGAATGTCTTGCAAGGCACCACAGTGATCGCAAAAACCAATTGTCTTGCACGTTTTTCATCCCACGAGGCAATTGTCTAGCGAGGCACCACTGTAATTTCAGAGGGTTTTCCCACCCTCTGCCACTGGGGGGCTTCTACCTTTTTCAAGCTGGAATAATTCAAGGCAACTTTCCCCTGTGTGATCAAAAGGACAGCAGGCATGGTTTTGAGTGGTATTCTGGTGACCTATTAAGCCAAGCGTAACGTTTTGGACAGCAGGAATGCCCACTCTTGCAATGTTTTTCCGTAATTGCTCCAAAGTGTTATTTTTAAAAAACCAAGCTACCAAGTTTAGCACTTCATCATCGTATCACTACATCGATAAACTAGTACAGCCCTAGATCACCTCTACGGGGACCAAAAAAGAAAAGAAAAGAAAAATTGACATAAAATAGAAAGAACTCTGATGAATTACAGCAGATTACTATGTTTCCATGGTATGCGTATATGTGTTTGTACGTTGTGGAGAACTCTGGGAAAATATCCCTTTTCCCTTGCATTGTGGAAGACTTCGAAACAGCCCACAGCTTTACAATGAACCTTGAAAGGTGAGCTGGGGCTTGGCAGAGGGTGGCATTGAAGAGAGGGGGGGCTCCGGGCTGTGGCACAGATCAAACCACATCAAACGGAGGGGCCACTGTGGGCACTGACATTGAAACCTTCTGCAGTCTCCATGTGATTAGTCTCCTAATCTGAACAGAAGCATAAAGCAGGCTGCGAATCAAGCTGCAGGAAAGCTGAATTCCTCCAGTTTTGCTTACCAGTGTAATCACAGCCTTAGTAAGTCTATGAAATGGATGGGATGTCAGTTACTCATGAATAAATTAAAGTCTGGATTTAATCCATTATTGCTTTCTTCTCTATGCAGTTGGGCCGTAGGTGGTCCATGACTAGAGCAGGGGGATGACACACCAAATTTGGGGAGAAGGCATCCCCTCCATTTGGTCCCTGAGCTGCCCCTGGCCAGAGTGATCTTTTGCAGAAAACCTAGTGGAGGGGAATAGTTCATATTTATACTTGAAAATAAAAGCAGCCAGTTTCAGCATGCTTTAAAAAAAAGAATTTAAAGCATTTCCCTGTGCTCTGTTATCACAAGTTAGTGGGACAATCAGTATTTTAGTCAGCAGCATTGTCAGTAATTTGATCAAGACTTCAAAGCCACAGCTATTTTTGATCCTTTCATACAGTCTGACTCAAATCTTTTCCTTCCTCTGCAGA